GGATCTTCTTCAGGATCTACTTCTGGATCTACCACCCAGCAGCTGCTCACAGAGCAGACCTGGGTAAAGAATCCCTTGGGATTTTCCTCTGGATCTACAGCCCAGGAACTGCTGATGGAGGGGGCTGAGGAAGGGGTGAGCAGAGCTGGGTAAGGGATCCTTCAGGATCTACCTCTGGATCTACTTCAGGATCTACCTTCGGATCTACAGCCCAGCGCTGCTGACAGAGAGAACTGGGTAAGGGATCCCTCAGGATCTACCTCTGGATCTACCTCTGGATCTACAGGAAGGGCTGGGCATAGCTGAGTGGGCTGGAGACTTTTGGGGTGACATTTTGGCTATTTGTGAGGCAGAGCAAGAAGTGGCTGTCCACAGGGAATGGGAATATTCTCCGTGGGCAGGAACTAACCCCCACACAATGAACTGGCCCCATTATTTCCCCAGCCCTGACAGAACGAGGCTTCCTTGGCTGAAACTTCTCTAGGAACCATCTCCATAAGGTTGTGGATGCCCCATCCCTGTGGAAGTGTCCAAGGCCAGGTTGGGCAGGGCTTGGAGCAACCTGGGATGGTGGAAGGTGTCCCAGGAGCACCGAGGAAAACACTTTCTGCTCCTGAATTTTCCTCTTTGATTAGCAGAGAACACTAAAATGCAGCTCAGATCTGCTCAAAGGGGTTTGAAAGAGCTGTTGGGGCAGGGGAAGGTCACCCCCACCTTGTCTCCAGGCTGACGTGCAGAATTCCCAATCTCACACCACCACAAGTATTCCCGTACCGTGACCATGGATGCTCCCCACTCCCGGATCTTGGGGATTATTTTATGAGCCACATTAATCTTTTCTTGCACTCCAGTCCGGATCTTCACCGTCAGAGGCACGTCCAGCACCTGCAGGAGTGGGAGAATGAGGCCAGGCCGAGGCAGGAGGTGGCTCCATCAGCTCCATCATCTCCAGGCGCTCCGACTCACCGAGTTCATCCCGCGGACAATCTGTTCAAACTTGTTGGAGCGAGTCATGAGAGCACAACCTCCTCCCTGAGGGACAAAACGTGCCACAGTCAAGACTTTCGTCTTCCTTGCATAGTGAAGAGTCCTTGGAGATGCTCAGGGAATGCAGGAAAGACTTGGAGCATCTCAAGGCTTGCAGAAAATGGATTCTTTAACAAAAAAAACCCCCACCAGCCCACAACCCTCTCTTCCCAAATTCTGGCAGGAAAAGACAGCCATTCCCTGCTCCTTGAGCAGCTTATTTACCTTCTTGCTGAGGTCCAGTGCCCATAAATGAAATGGGAGCTCTGGATCAGCCTGGCAGGAGCAGGTCAGGCAGCGGGGCATAAGGGAAAAGACAAGGATCCATGGAAGGAAGGAAAACGCGCCCCACAACTCACCTTCTTGTAGACCAGGTCAATGGGACAGCCCACGTTGATGTCCACGAAATCCACCTCGATTGTCCTGTTCAGGAGCTCTGCACACTTGGTCATGGTGTCTGGAAAGGCTCCCTCCAGCTGCCAAAGGGAGCCAAAGCTTCCATGAGCTCCAGAGGCCACTTTTCTCCTCGGAAGTTCGGTTTTATCGAGGCGACAACACTCACCTGCACCCCAAAAATATCCTCGGTGTGGTGGCGTTTGAGCAGGGCCCACTCTGAGGACTGGCCCTGGAGCAGGTTGGTGCACACAGCCATCTCCCCACAGGTGACATCTGCTCCGAAGCGTTTGCAAATCCGTCGGAAAGGGAGGTTCCCGCACTGCCAGGGACAGCAGGGACAGGGATTGTCAGGAGATCTGCTCCCTTCCGACGGCAAGTTTTGACAAACGGATAAAAGTTATCAACCTACCGTGGTGAGTGGAGCCAAGTAGAGCTTGCCTTGGATTTCCAGCTGGAAAACAAGGATGGAGGACCATCGTCAGAGCTGAGGCAGCAGTGGTGATGATCATTGAATTGTAGAATCAATAGAATGGTTTGTGCTGGGAGGGACTTTAAGGATCATCCAGTGCCACCTCCTGCCATGGGCAAGGACACCTTCCTCTATCCCAGGTCGCTCCAAACCGCATCCAACCCGGCCTTGGACACTTCCAGGGATGGAGCAGTCACAGCTTCTCTGGGCAACCTGTGCCAGGGCCTCCCCACCCTCACAGGGAGGAATTTCTTCCATATATAAGATATTCCAGTTTTTATCCCTTGCCTTGGGTAAAACCCAGTGGGAAACCCAGGAGAACACTGGTTTTGTTTTAGAACCTCAAACTATTCCCAGGGAATGTCTCACTTGCATAAAAGAAGCAGAAAATTGAACCACTCATTTTGTTTTCACTGCTCAGCTTGGAGAGAGCTCACAGCAATTACAGATACAGAAGTGAGAGGGACTGGTTTATGGAAGCAAGAATGGAGGTGAGGAGGATGAGGGGAGGAAGACACTGCAGCACATACAACCCAGCCCAACCTCAGGTCTCCTTCCTCTTCCATCCTCCCTGACAGCTCAGCCCCTCCTTCCAGGACCTGGAAAATCCAGGGGCTGCAGCTTCTCTTGGTTCTCACCCTTCCAAGGCCAACTCCAGACCCGTGAGCACTCACCTTCCCACCATGACAGGGACATGGAGCCCACGAGCTCTGCCCTCTGCCTGCCTCCCCCAGCTAAAGGGTCTCAAAGGTGTCTCCAAAGGGTCTCTCTTGCATCTTTCCACACACAGTTCCCACCCCTGGAGCAGCACACAAGGGTCACCTGCCCTTGACTGGATCTCACCTTCTTCTTCTCGCACGGCCGCAGCTTCGTGACGTCCTCGTCGGTCAGCGGGCCCACGGTCGGCACGGAGGGAGCAACCCCATCCCCTGGGGAGCCGGGGCTCTGCAAGGCCTCTGCTTTGGGATCTTCTCCCTGTTCCTGCAGC